AGTATTCAGCAACTACGGTAAGAGTTTTCGCTTGTTATTTCAAAGTGTTGTTGTTTAAAATGCAGTAGTGCTGTGTTTCGCAACAGTGTACATGACACTGGACAAAATGAGTGAGGGAAACTTAGGGTGGGCTTTTCCCCAGTCAGTTCTTCATCACACTCTGATTACCCCCTATCAAGCAAGTCAGCCTTGGTGTGCAGTGGGCAATAGGAAAAGGATCCTGCAAACACTGCTCAACAAACAATGCAGGGACGAGCAATACAATCTAGTGTTGGAGCGAATGGACGGTGAACTTCAAGACATTAGTTTTGGACCCAGTGCATGAATTTATTCACTGAGCGTGCAGGTGAACAGATGTACTCTAGCAGACAAGGTAGTTGACCCAAGGCTGGGCCTATCGTCTATTGTTTAACTGTTACAAGCCCCTAGTGGTGCCAAAGGAAGGAAGTGGAAGGCTGGTGACGTAGCACTGTAAGATGTATGATGTGTGTATTATCCTTCACTGCATGCATGGACCACACTGTGTGCATTCTAAATTGTCACTAATGACCGCTTCTAGCTTTCTGATTGGTTTAATCCCTAGTCACTAGGTCAGCGGGTATCTTAGAATAGAATTGCACAGTGCACCGCTTACTTTTTTCAATCTGCCTTTGATTTTGAACCTGATATTGATACATGTACTGATATTGTTGCGGATTACTCAAAATGCCTCAAAGGGTTTGTGGGAAGTTAAAAATTTTGTCAGTGCAGACGGACAAAAGCAGTGTTGAATGTAAAATATGTTAACAAAAGTTTGCTTATTCTCGACGTTCAATGTGAACTTGATGTCATGTTAAAACAAAGTATCCGATTGAATTTGAAGCAGAAGAGGAAAGTAAGAAAATGAAGGTACCTGTGTTGAGGTGAGGAGAGCACCCTGGTAATCACTGACTCAAAAACTACAACATTCACAGCAGATTAGGTGCAACTAACCCTGCAACAAATGGTGGAAAGGACTATACAAACCAGAATCATTGAGAAAACGCAATTGGATGAACATATACTGGATCTCATACTTCTGGACACGCAACCACTATCTGTTGTAGAACAAAAAGAGTTTAGGAAATTGATCAACGCACTCGATCCTAAATAAGAAATCATTTCGAGGAAAAGGCTGATCAGTCAGACACTGCCTGGTCGCTACCAAGAAGAAAAAGACAAACTGATACGTGAACTCAAAGCTGTAACAACAGACTGTTGGACTTCACAGTCCAATGAAGCATATACTGCCATTACTACTCACTACATCACATCCCATTGGGGGTGGAAATCAACAGTTCTTCTCACAAGATCTCAAGGAAAGGTGCATAAGGCAGAGAACTTGGCTGCTCAGCTGCAAGATGCCTTCCAAGAATTTGAAATAGAGTGCAATGTTTCCACAGTGGTGACAGAAAACAACAAAAATATTGTGAACGCTGTTGAAGTGTTGAAGATTAGGCATCAATCATGCCTGCTTTGCCCACACACTCAACCTCGAGGTGAGAAATTCCATCAGTGAAGTGGAGGAGATCAAAAAGCATTGTCAAAAAAATCAAGGACATTGTCACATACTTTCACTCCAGCATTGTGGCCACCAGCTCTCAGAGACAAGTGCATGAGTGGAGAGGAAGCTTACTGAAAAAACTGAAGCAAGTCATAGAGACACAGTGGAATAGTATATTTGACATGATAAAAAGCTATGTAGACTAGAATATGGAAGTCACTACAGTCTTGTGTTTGATTAGGAAGAGCAGCTTGTGCCTTTATCCTGTTGATATACCTGCAGCTAAATAAGCAACGAGCATTCTGGAACCATTCTTTGAGGCTACCATAGAGCTGTCAACAGAGAGGAACACATAAGCCTCAAAGATTATGCCACTGGTGAAAATTCTGTCAAAAATTACAGTAAGGAATATCTTATTGCTGTCCAACAAGCTACACGAACTACAACACATGAGATTTGGGGATGCAGGAGACAGAACCCACCTGAAGCTGTCAACACCTTCTCGACACAAGGCTCAGGCAATCTGGACTTTCGTCTACAGAATGTGAAGCTAAGGCAGTGGAAGAGCGGAAAGGGGCAGTGAAGACAGTTGAACTTCCAAGTGACTATTCCAAGCAGGTGAAGAAATTGAGCTCAACACACCCAGCACATAAGAAACCCAGTCTACTCTGGTCTGACTTTGATGAAGAGATAAAGACATCTCAAACAAAGGCAGCTGCGAAATGGACATCAGCTGAGATGGAAGTCAAGCAGTACCTGGAGAGTCTAGGACTTGCAAGAGATAAGGATCCTCTCATCTGATGGAGAGAAGACACCCATGTGTTGCAGAGACTACAAATAATCGCCACAGATGTATTTACAGGCTATTCCAGTGACATCTGTCCTAGAGCTCTTCGTAGATCAAACCTTAAAAAGAAAAACGTTGATATTATTATTTTTCTGAATAAAATCAGTGGTTGAAGTCAACGATGACACTGTTTTGAATGTTCCACCCTTGCTATTTTCCAAACATTCAAGATGTAAGCACTAATTGAATGTATACTGACATACTGTACCTTTATTCTTGTCTTACAGTCTATTTGAGATTACATAACAACCCTGTTCTGCATGCTTATTTGATAAAAGTGCTGAAGACAGTAATGTACAAATCATTTTGTTAGATTGTATTTTTTTTTCTAGATACAATGATGTACATATGTAAATAATTCATGTTTGATATTCATGGAATGTAATATTTGGCTTTCAAAATGTTCAAATAGAGGACAGTTACAGAAACAACTGTCTCTTCATTAAAATAAAAAGAAAACAACAAATAAAAATAGAAAAAAAGGCAATTTTTACCTCCCCCCCC